ATATATATATATATATATATATATATGTATATATATGTATGTATGTATGTATAAAAGAACCAACCAAAAAAATAAGAAACATAGTATTTTGAAAGTAACTGTTTAACATAGTACACAGACAATTTCCTTCATATACAAACATTCCTCAGACATCACTAAGAAATGAACAAATAGGAAGAAGGCACTTTTAGCTGGGTATGGTGGTACCTGCCTTTAATCCTGAAATTCAGGATGCAGAGACAGGCAGATCTTTATGACTTCAAGCTCAGACTGATTTATACAATGAGTTTTAGGCCAGCCAGGGCTACACAGTCAGATCCTGTCTTAGCAACATCAAAAAAGGTTGTTGTGTGAAAATTGTATTTAAAAAGAAAATGGACAAATGATACCATTGAAGCCATTTACAGAAAATAGTGAAGAAACCTATTAAAATGATAACTCTCATTTACAATTAATGATGTGTAAATGAACACATTTGAACTTTAAGACGGACAAAAAGTAAGACAGCATCTGGCCACAGCCAGCCAGCGACAGCAGTGACCACATTCCAGCAGAAGGCACTACAGCTTTCAGTTTCAGGATCTGCAGCCCAGGTTCTCACTCCTACAAACTCCATCTTTCTAACAGAACCGACATTAGCACTCACTTAAAAGTAGAACAATACACAGTGTGTTTCTTCTCTTTTAGCTGCTGTGATGGTTAACTCTGATTATCAACTTTGTAAGATGTAGAGCCTCCTAAGAGACAAACTTTGGGATGTGTGTTGAGGCAGTGTCTAAAACTGGGTTAACTCCCATGACCCACCCTAATGTAGGCAGTAACATTCTCCAAGCTGGCACCCCTGATGACATGAACAGAGGGAAAGCAAACTGCTGATCTCTGTTTCTGACTGCAGCTGCCATGGAACCAGCTGCCTCACTCTGCAGCCATGCCCTCCCCACTCATGAACCCTTAAACCTGTGATCCCATCAGGTTCTATTGTCAGCAATTTGTCACCGATTTAGAAATGAAAAAAAAAAAAAGTAGCTAATGCAACATATCCTGTAGGAAATCCATTTCAGATCCAATGTCGAAAATGCATAAGGCCCATGCACCTAACTGGTTTTCACAGGATAAAAACACATCACATAAATTATCATAGTTCTCTGGGAAAGAAAAGAGGCAGCCCTCTGTGGACTAGTAGGCAGAATGCTTACCCATATTTTCCAAAGAGCGACACGGTTGTTCCACCCACTGGCACAGCTCTTCCCGGTCCATACACATCCCATATAGTCAAGGCCACTTGGGCGTTCCTTGGCAGGTCAGGGTACTTCACAGGGAGTTTCAGCCACTCATTCCAACTATGAGAACAAAGTCAACAGAATACATACATATCTTTCTTTCAAATTAGCCCATAAAAGATGGTTCAGACAGATGAGAAGGCTCTAAAAAGATTAGGTTTATATGCTAAAAAATAATGTGGAAAACCTTCAATTTTGTTTGTTCAAATATCTGAATATTGCTCATGAAAAATAGCAGGTATGTGAAGACATTTAATCAGGACACTCAAGCTGAGCAGTGTGACATATGCCTGCAATTCCAGAATTTAACGTGAAGCAGGATTACTATTGTTAGGTCAAGGCCAACCTAGAGAGCTTCTTGAGTTTGTTTTGAGTGCAGTCCAGGCTATAAAATGATATCAAAAAACAGAAAAAAAGTTATAATATCACTATGATGTATGGAAACAGAACAGCAGAAAATAAAAATAAGCAAATCAGGAAATATATTTTAACATGTTAAAACTTTTAAACCAACTGTTGTTTTCTCTAACAACTCTCCAGAACATAACTTTACATTCTGAAAATAACCAAATCATACTGTGATTATAAAATGATCAATTATGTTATGTTAATGCATTCCTGAGATAATAAAACAATCCCCAAATAACAATAACCTCATGAGCCAAAGCCAACCTGCTTTTGTAACACTTGGAAAGTACCAACTTGCACATCTGTTTTATCTCATCAAGTTTGTTTTTCATTAAATTTTTTTGACAATATATTTAGATCATTGCACTTCGACTTATTTCACTGGCACTAATGACACTTAGCTGTTAGCACGTAATGCTCCCTAAGAATGTCTGCAAATAACTTGCTAATGTGTGTTTGTTCAGAATAATACAAAAATAACCAGCAATTTCTTACGCTATACTCATTTTTGCAATATTCTTCTGCATTTGAAATGGACTCACTTGATAATTTCCACTCCCTCAAGTACATGGCTTTTAATATTTCAAAAGAATCCCACACAAAAACATGAATACCCAAAAGGCAGACAGAATTCTATTTACTCGTGCTTACCCTCAAAGCCAGCATATCACTAGATCAAATACACATGCATCAATGAGAAACAAGAGAATTTTCAAAGACAACAAAAATGTATTTATTGCAGCTGCAAATTCTGAAACTCCAGGAAAATGAGAGATGTCATCAATTCTGATTAGAAGCAAAACATTATCAAGTCTTTTTTTCAATAAAGTTCTTTTTTGTTGGTGGCGGTTTTTTGTTTGTTTGTTTGCTTGTTTGGGTTTTTTTTTTTCTTTTTGGTTTTTTGAGACAGGGTTTCTCTGTGTAGCCCTGGCTGTCCTGGAACTCACTCTGTAGACCAGGCTGGCCTCGAACTCAGAAACCTGCCTGCCTCTGCCTCCCAAGTGCTGGGATTAAAGGTGTGTGTCACCTCTGCCCTGCTCAATAAAGTTCTTTAAGAAACCAAATTACATGTTTAAGAGATGCTTCAGATAAGCAAATTACTACTCACATGACAAAACAGACTGAAAAGGAAATACTGAACACTGTTATTATTTGTGGATGAAGAAACCACAGCAGTTGATAGACATGGAAACAATTAACATGAAGTAAAGATAAAGAGAAAAACTAGTGTCACTATCCAAATTAATCTGTGGAAGCTTTCATCTTGATGTCTACCCTTACATTCCAAGAGACAGTACCTTGAATAAGCAATCCTTTCCTCAAGTCTTCTGGTCTTTAACTCCTGGTGCCAAGATGTCCTTAAATCAAAGCAACTACAGTTCAACCTGTCTTACAAGCTGTTCTCTAGAGGGAAGTGGTCTTTCAGCTAACACATGGAGAAACTACTCTAGACATTCCAACCTCTATGAAAGGATCAATTCAAACACCGAAGGCTGTGTGTTTTCAGCATCATTTTGTCATCCTCCTTGCCTAATCCCTGATAATCTGAATCTGACAAAACCTGAATCTGGATACTGGAATCCCACCATGAGCCCCGTGGACTTAATTCTCTAAACAGATGAACACACTTTGAAACGGAAATTATTAAATTAATATCCCCCTCCACCCTGTCTGTCTTTCAAATGTTTTAGAAAAGATGTAATCTAAACAGTTTAAAAAGTTTATGGGGCTGGGGCTATACCTCAGTGGTAGAGTGCTTACCTAGCATGCACAAGTTGTGAGTTCAATCTCGAGCACTGTGTAGGAAAAGTAATAAAAAACAAAACAAAAAACCTGCCTAAAAGGACAGTAACAACAACAAATCTCTTCATTTAAATTATAGACAACTATAAACAAGACCCTGCGTTCTCTGTGCACATCTACATTAACTGTGATTAAGGTCAGAGAACAACGTTTAGGAGATAGTTCTCTCCTTCCAAAATGTAAAGTCCAGGCACAGAACTCAGGTTGTCAGGTTTGACAGTCAGTGCCTTTATTCACTGAGCCATATCCTCCTTCACTATGAGATCTTACGGAAGGACATGACGTAATAGGATGTATTAAGATAGAACTGGATACATGTGGGGTGAATTCCTTATTACTAGAACTCACACAAGTCACAATCAGACATTTAGACATTAGTATCTCATAGTTCCTCTAAATATATTATCTAAACAAAAGATATCCAAAAATAAACAGAGCAAGAAGTTCTTTTATGAAGTAACTTTTTTCCAGTTTATAACTGCTTCTGGTGGGTAATGATGTATACAGGACAATGGAAGTGTGAAATGTTTAAGTGTAAAGTGTTTAACCATTATTTCATTTTAGGAGTTAGGCAACAGTTGCACCTTTCAGATACAAACAGCAGACTGTATGAAACCTGGTAAGTTTTCCTTTAATTTTGGTCTATTTTTTCTACATGCCTACTTTCTTGTTACATACTCCAAATATTTTCTCAAATCTGTTTTCTACAGCTGTGTTACATCTTTTAGTGATCAATATAGTTAGGTTTTTCCCTTGTTTCTTTGGTAATTTTACAACCTTGCAAGCATATTAACAGCATAAACAATGAATCAAAGATTTTGTCAATGAGAAGAGAAGAAGTTGTCTTTGTTCTAAATTCTTTTTGTCAGTGTAAAGAACAGAAAATAATTTTTTTTATGTACCAAAAAAGAAAATGGTATTCACCAAAGACACTAAGACAATGACCTTCTACATTTAAATATATTTTAAACTGGAGAACTCCAGTCCACTGTTTTACATGTAATGCTGATACTATAGTAATATTTCTGTCTTGTTTTGCTTGTTTTGCTTTTGGAGTCAGTGTCTGACTATGTAAACCAAGCTGGCTTTAAATTTACAGAGATCCACCTGCCACAGCCTTCTGAGTGCTAGGACTAAAGGCATTCATCACCAATGCCTGGCCATATTATATTTCTCTATGTTTGTACAGTTGAAATTTTCCAGAATAAAACATATTAAATATATGTATGTGTATGTGTGCTGTGTAGATATAAATATTTATATATAGCTGACACCAAAAAGAAACTATAGAAATTCTACTATTGAAAAACATATTTGGATGTATTAGACTAGTACAGTACAAGCTCCCTCTCTCTGAAAAGCCTTCTGAGATTTAGAATGCTATACCCATACATAAACAGCATGTAGGATCAATGACAGGGTGAGTGTGCACAGGGCTATGTTTTGTCTTCCATATACCGTGAGCAAATATCATTCCTTATGGGCACACACTCGGAGTGGGAGACACAACTCAGCAAAATACTTGCTGCTCTTGCAGATGACCTGCGTTCAGTTCCCAGGACCCACATGATAGCTTGTGTCTGTACTGTGTGCAAATACATTGGGCAAGTAAAATACTGACACAGACATAAAAGCAAAACATATCAGACACCTAAGGATCTGTCAGCCTACATGATTGTGAACTAAAACTGACTAAACTTTAGAAATGCCTAATAAACTCTATCAGATAAGAAGTATCAGGACATTAGATCAAGGATCCATAATATACAATTTCATGTTATCGTACACCAATTCTACACCCTAACAATGTGTTGCTAACATGTCATGCAAATACATGAATAAAATGTGAACCTAAAAGTAAGTTGCATATATATATAAAACTTGTTGTCCATTTCAAACTATGACAGACAGACAGAATCCAGACATGGTTCTGTTCTACTTTATGTTGTAAATGAGGAAAATATTTCCTTTTCAAAATGTCAACATACTAAATACAATCATGAAGTCACTACTACATCAATACTATGTGTACATGTGTAATATGTATTTTTAACAGTCTACCTAATATTTATAGTAATCCCTGAAAAACTGTCTCTACTTATAACATTAGTAGGGCAATGGAAAGACACTCTAGAATCTTTCATACGGTAAATAAAAAACCAAACCAAACCAAACAGTAACAACAAACCCCGTGCCCCCAAAACAACTTACTTCCATCTTGTACTAAATGCTTTGTAGGATGTTCTGACTGGTAAGGCCAAAGGCTTCCCTTCAGCAAAAACTTGACAAGTCACATAGAGATCAGAGCATGTCTCTTGGTATAGCCCGGAAAACTTTAACATCGGATCTTCTAGGACAGCTTTGTAGCTCTTTTGTTCTCTCTTCCCTTCCAAGCTCCCTCTGAAAGCAAAGACACAGTTTACTTTAACACACACAAAAAGATATAAAGAGCTAATAAGCTGATTCTCTGTTAAAATAACCATAAACTATCCAATAAAGCCTTCCTATTTTTAAAAGTAACATCATTTTATATATGATAAGAAACTCAGAAAATCTTAACATTGCTAAACTCATTTTATCTTCATTAAAAATTTCTCTTCTTTGGGCTTCTTCATTTTAAACCCTGTTGTCCTTTTGATCCAGGCCTTAAGATTAAAATTATTGATTCTAGCACTTGGGAGGCAGAGGTAGGCTGACCTTTGAGTTCAAGTTCATCCTAGTCTACAAAGAGAGTTTCAGAAAAGCCAGGGTTACACAGAAAAACTCTGTCTCTAAATAATAAAATAAAATAAAAACTGATTTCAAATTGTCAACTTATTTATCCAGCTTTAGCTGGGGACTGCAATCCCATAGGAAGAACAACATCAACTAACCAGACCACTCAGAGCTCCCAGGGACTAGACCACCAACCAGAGTATACATGGAGGGATCCATGGCTCCAGATATATACGTAGCAGAGGATGGCCTTATCTGACATCAAAGGAAGAGGAGGGCCTTGGTCCTGTGGAGGTTTGATGCCCCAGCTTAGGGGGATGCTGGAGAGGTGAGGTGGGAGTGGGTGAGTGGGTGAGTGGGTGGAGGTGCACCCTGTCTTTTTTTAAAGAAGAAAAACAACCTGTATTCCTTTTTTGTAAAGGAGAAAAATGTACTTTTGCTTGGGTATATTTTTTTATTCCTTTTTCCTGTACTATACATTCATACTATCTCACTATTTCATAATACAAAAAAACTGGTTAAGAGTTGTAAGCCATACTACTGGAATATGCATGGACAGTGTTAACGAACGAAGCAGGAGCATTTCTTGGACATCAATATTATACCAGATATCATACCGGGAATCTGATATATGCTTTTAAAGACCACATTATCACTTCATAAATGAACATACAGAAACTTAGAGATCACACTCATTACCAAAGATAGAAAAGTTAACAGCTGGGAATATGGACCAGAGCAAAGAGTCTAAAGTCAACTGTCTTCCCACAATAAGAGTGTCCAATGTCGCCTCTCAGTCACTTACACAGATGCCTGAATTAAGCCTAATTCTAATGGCACATAGAAGATAGGAGCAAAGGAAGCAAACAACACACACAATGTGTTCTCTCCAGGTAGGAGTCTGAAGTTCTCACTAGCAAGAAGGCTCTCACCAGGAACAGCCCTCAAATTTCTCTTCCCTATCCTTGAGAAATGGCACAGGTCAGTTCTGACATTATGGAAACTACACAGCAAAACTGCTCTTGTCTGGAAGGGTGAACGTCCCTACTTACACAAATGCAAATGCTATTCTTAAGTTAGCATCTCTGGGAACTCTTCTTTCCCACCGGAGTTCTCATTTCAAGACGCCATGGTCTTGATCTTTATTTTAAAGTATTAATTTGAAGGTTTTACTAAAAGCCTCTTTCCTCTCATCTTCTTGATCCCTCTGTAACTGACACGGCCTCCCACTCCCTCTCAACCTCTCTACCTTTCAAATGTCAAACTTTCCGAAAGTCCGTCTCCTGTGTAATTAAAACTGCACCCATGTGCTCAGTTATCCCACCTTCACGATTTCCGAACTCCCTTCCACTTTCCCAGCCCTGCCCTAAAGGAAACGCCTTCATTTTCTTCCTCTCATTTAGGCGGGGAAAATTGTTTCCTAAGGCTTTTCTGGGTAAAATTAGATCGCAGCATTCCCACAAAAACGGAAAATGTAAACTGCTCCGCACCCCTCACGGGGCTTCGGTGCGGGTGATTCCCTTCGAGGAGCAGCCCCTCTCCCGGGGAACGCCCGCCCCTCGCAGCCCTCCCTCCCCGCTCAGCTCTCACATCTTCAGCTGCACGTTGATGTCCAGGTCACAGCTGTAGATGTAGTGGAATTTCTCCGCCTCCCCCATGCTCAGCTCCGGAGATGAACGCCACAGTGACAGACCGGTAGGGAAAAGAATCTACCGCTGCCTCAAAACATGAAAACTTCCTGTCCCGCCCCTCCGCCCGGAACCGAGCAATCCCCGCTCAAAACGAAAACAAACGCGACGGAACAACCCCTGGGCGGGCGGCTGTACGCATGTGCAAATGGAGCCAGCCATGTTGCTTAAGGGCAAACGAGGAACCAGGAAGCGTGGCTTATGTGGTTACATTCCAGTCTTCCTGCTTTGACAAAACTTTGTATTTTTCTTTTTCTTCTTTGATTGAGACAGGGGAAATTCGGCTGAAAATTAATGTAATAACTTTCACATGGTTCAAGCCAAATAAAGAAGAAGCACAAGATTATTTTGGCCAATTTATATTTGATTATTAATTGGCCGTTTCCAGCAGAAAATCTTTTTGTGTCATGAAAAAGATAAAAAAAAGTACTAGACAAAGACTGAGAAAGACCTGAGTTTCATTTTGGCACTACCAATATTTCTGCTTCAGTGCTTCGTATTGGGTATATTCTGATCTAATGTGTGCTTCGGCACAGAGCTCTACAGTTCTTCCTTAGAAACTGAAAATAATTGAAATTCGATTTATTTATTTATTTATTTATTTATTTATTTATTTATTTTGGGTTTTTTGAGACAGGGTTTTTCTGTGTAGCCCTGGCTGTCCTGGAACTCACTCTTTAGACCAAGCTGGCCTCGAACTCAGAAATCCACCTGCCTCTGCCCGGCTTGAAATTTGATTTTTGAATCATCTGAGTGTCTGTAATTTATTCTTGTAACATTTAGCATCCTCTAACAATTTGCCCTCCATTTGCAATTGTAGTTAAAAATTCGTTGAAAGCAATTATAGTTTGACATATGTTTCATTTTTTCTGTCCCTTCAGAGTCTAAGAACTGACTTTAATAATTCCAATTTACTATTAGAGGTTACCTCCTTTCTGGATGTTTCTCAATTTTGTGTTCTCTCTCTCTCTCTCTCTCTCTCTCTCTCTCTCTCTCTCTCTCTCTCTCTCTCTCTCTCTTTTGCAGGAGCAACACACACACACACAAAGTACAGATAGAAAAATTACTCTTCAGGAAGCTGGTTTTCTCCTTCCACTTATGGGTGGGTTCTGGGGATAAGAACTCAGGTTGTCAGGCTGGTAGGAAATGCCTTTACCTAATGAATCATATTGCTGGTCATGTATAAATACCACATTTTAATACAAAAAACCCAACTTCATGTTATTTAAATTTTTGATAAGATTAAAAAACAAAAAAGTTTGAGAGGAATGGGATGATTTAAACAAAAAGAACAAATTTGACTTTTGCCTACATATAACTGTTAGCATTGTCTAAACTCCACCCCCACAGTTATGGTGACAACAACCAGGTAGGCCTGGCCCACTATAAAAGGGGCTGCTTGCCACCTCCTCTCTCTCTTGATCTCGCACTCTTGCTCTCTTGATCCCTCTGACCCCTTGCCCTTCTCTCCATGTGGTCATGGCCGGCCCTTACTTATTCTCCTTCTCCCCTCTCTCCTCTCCTTCTCTTTCTCCTCTCCCCTCCTCTCCCCTCTCCCATCTCCCTTCTCCTCTTCTCTTCCTTCTCTCCCCCTTCCTCCCTCCCCCTCCCCCTCCATCTCCCCCTTTCACCGCCCCCACCTCTCTCTGCCTCTACTACCCTCTTAACTTCCCTCCCCATGCTTTGAATAAACTCTATTCTATACTATACCGGTATGTGTCTGGCTGGTCCCTCAGTGGGAAAAGATGCCTCTTATGGGCCCGATGACACATTCCCTTCCCCCGTACCTCACTACACACCCATAAAACATATTCTCTTCCTCCTTATCTTTTTATAAACACATCAGTAACTACCATTAAATAGTTATGACTTACAGAAAACATGTTTTCAGCAACAAAATAGGAAAGTTGCAAACACCAGAGCTGTGTAAGAGTAAAACAATAGCCACAAGCTAAGCCAATTTTTGGCATAATTTTGACAGAAATTATAAAGCTGGTTTTGAATCAGATTGTTTAAACATCAGTGATTTTTTGGTTGTTTTTTGAAAATGTGTTTATGTGTCCATGTAAGTATTTGTCATGGGAATGCTGGTGCTTACGGAAGCCAGAAGAGGTTGCTATATCCCCTGGAGCTAGAGTCACAGAATATTGTGAGCTGCCCCCATGTGGATCTCTGAGCTGAACTCAGGTCCTCTGTAAGTGCAACAAATGCTTTTCATCACTGCGCCCTCTTTCTAGCTCTATAAAATCTGGTATGTGAAAATAATAAAATTGTCTGGGTCTAGAGATAAAACTCCTCTTGGAATAAAGAAATTTAACTTATAAATTATAACATAAATATACATATATACATATACCTCTCTCTCTCTCTCTCTCTCTCTCTCTCTCTCTCTCTCTCTCTCTC